TTGAGTATGACTCGTGTGAATGGATTGCAGACTACAGATGGCAGGCGAACTGGGCGGTAATTGCCAATGTTGTCTGGATTTCCCTTCTTATATAGCGACACGGTCTTGCTAATTTCCACGAAGTGTGCACTTTGCATCCCGACAGGTACCGCTTGAAGAGCCGAGCCAAAGTTTTGACAATGACTGGCGTAAGGCTTTTCAGATGTTCTGTTTTGATCCTGTCGGGACCGGGCGCCGAACCATTCCTTATCTACGTGATGGCGGAAGGAAAAACTGATGGACATATTCGTCTTGTCTAGGTAGGCAGGTAGACATGGCTGTCGAAGAGGGCGATGGACAAATCGTAGATGACCTCCATTGCCCTTCGAGCTGCAATAATTGCTCCGTCTAGGTCGGCAAGTCATCTCGGTTTTATTATTGACCAAGCTCCGACGAGCCTCGAACGCTCTTTCCTCCCCTCGGCGGCTTCGACCAAAACTGCCGCTCTTTTCTCTTTCATATCTTCCTTAATCGTTCTCTGCATAGCTTCGCAAGTTGGGTTCGCAGTTTAGCTGCTTATTCTCTGCAGTTCGTGCGATTCCACGCTCGCGTATCAGATCGAGAATCTTTGAAGAGAGACGTTTTTTGGAATGTTTGAGATCTTTGCTTTCCTGTCACCATCATGAAGATGATCGACGAGCACGTCGCATTCTTCAAGGCTAACGGAATCATCTCGAAAACTCGCAAGTGAAGCGAAATGATCCCAGCTTACAAAAGTATCGGAGCTTCGTTTTCTGTACATCTCAGCTCTCTCTCCACGCTATAAGAAGCGGAATCTAGCGCGCAGGAGACAATGTTCTGATCCCGTGTAGAACTTTGGAACAACAGCGACCTCGGTCAGACAAAAGTTTCAATAGGAGATGATGTGATCTATTTTATTACCAGTCGGCCGGGGGACGCGCGATTCACGCGTGACCCCATTGGAGCTCGTCGCGCACGCAGCATCGTTTCACTACTCTTCTGTTGAGATGAACCAGTAGTACACGGCTTCACCATGAATAAGGGCAAATCTCATTACTATGGCAATGAAGGCCCCTCGAGATTAAGAATTCACTTCATGGGTCAACAACTTACTTGTCAAACGTACAATATGAGAATAAATTCAAAATTTTTGATTTTAGAAAAAGCAATCCTTCTATAAATGTGCCAATTAGTCATTTTTTTTACTTATGTTATTTACAATTTCTTAATTCTCCCATTATAATGGTAGACATGACGTTATAGCGTTTCTCGTCCGAGGACCCCATTATATTGACGCGTAAATCGCACAACACCCCCAGTCGGCCTGCGCACGATACCGTGCGCGTCTCATGGCTCCTGATATATGGATTTCCTAGAAGATAATCTGGGGCGTAGTCGTCTTAGCAACATAGTAACCACCCTCTTCCAGAAAAAAAGAACGGTACCGTTCTTCCACCGCAACTAATAGCGGCATAAACGTTTATCGAGAGCGCACATTTTTAGCAAGTTGCATTTGGCAGCTATTTACATTCGTTCATCCATACACTAACCGAAACAGTCCAAAAAATCAAGATAGAACTTAGAAAGCATTTAATTTCTTGTTTACCCTTACCATTGGGAAGACTTATACTCCACTGGAGACGAAATGGGAATTTATTTGCTTTTTGATCATTTATCCGCACCCGTCGCAGTAGGCATTTGAAAGCATACCAACCGACGATCCAGTTGGCCAATATATTGTTTGATGAATTTTTCGCAAAATTTGAGTACTCTAGGCCCAGGAAAACAGGAGTTACAGATTCGTGGTGAACTATACTTTTCGCGCAAGCCGCGCCCTATTCTGCAGGGCCTAGCTTGAAGGTACAGTTCACGATAATCAGTGGGCGAGAACCTCAATGGCCTTCCCGCCTCTCGATCGATGTCACGTCAGACGTCAGAGACGAGTGTCGAGACAATACAGATTACAAATATTCGTTCTAGGACCCACACATGAGCTGATCGCCAAGTGATGAGGCGATGTTTTTCTTCCATTCTTTTTTCCTCTGTTATTCTTCTTGATCCCTTACTTGATTTCCTACTCCTAGAGGCTGAAAAAGGTGAGCTACTTTTGCTGTTACTAGGTTTTTTTGTTTACTTTTGCTTATAAGTGAATGAATTTTTGCTTACCATTGTCTGTTATTCGCACCGGGACCCACACGCACGCAGTGAGACACATTGTATAGCTCGTCCAAACGCCTCACTCTTCTTCATTTTTCTGTTCTCATTCTCGTCCAGCCCCTTTTTTAACTACTTTTTAGAAGCATTCTATCACTCTGGAAAGACCGATTCCGGCAGTTTCTCCACATTCATCGCACTATTTTCGATCTTGTCTTCCACTTTTCATCATAATCTGGACTACCCAAAATTATCGTGAACTGTGCCTTTGCGTCACGAATGCCGAAGGAGTCCGGCTCGTTCCTCACTTGTTCCAACCTGCTGAGCTGTTCCAGTTGATTTCCAACTTCGGCCATATAAGATAGTTACAGACAAACAGACAAACAGAAAAACAGACTAACCGACAAACGGGCATTTGTGGTTCATATATAGTAAGGATTCTGGCATCTTTGCACTTTCAACGCTAGCACACTCGGAAATAGAGGTTGAATAGGTGGTGTGTCCTAATATTTCATAGTTGTCCAGGTTGCTGTCAGGAAAAGTGTGGCTAATTAGCAGTCCCTTCATCGACACCCAATTTTTATGCATTTTAGCAGATTCTCTGCAAAATTTGAACGCCTCATGTCCAAATTTAAATTTTGCGGGAGCCCCACCCCCAGTGGGAGGAGTCTACACCTGTCACCTACCATTAGTTTTCCCATCTTCCCACCTACATGTCTGCCAGATTTGAATGGCCCAAGTCCAAATTGACTATTTTTAGCTAGCTCCGCCCCAGTGGGCGTAGTCTACACCTGTCATATAAGATAGTTACAGTGAAACAGACAAACAAACATACAGACAAACAGAAAAACGGACGGAATGGCTTATATATAGTAAGGGTGGAACAGTCCACCAGGTGTTTCTTATGTCCATCGCAAATGAGAGGGCTTCTGGAACTGCGAGTGACCATGGACAGTGTGGGACACAAATTCGGGCAGCTTTTCACATTGCTCATTCCATTCCATTCCGTGAGTCCCAATGTGGAGTCCTTTACCCGTCCTTCTGAGGCCAATCTTGGCGCTGAAATCACTGACGATCACCTTGAAGAAAGAATGGGCTTCTCTTTAGATTCGCAACGAAGACTGTTAGAGCGGGGTCGAGCCACATCTTCTTAATCGCAAAAGTCCGATTCGGGTTGTCGAGCTTTCGTACGAATCGGCGTTCATAGCCTAGTCCGTATTGTCGAGGACACTAATGTATTCAACGCCACCACTGTCGCATGTTCCAACGAACAGTTCATCTCCAGTCTCAAATAAAGCATGCAACGTGCGATGCTTTCTCGTCTCGGTCGCTCGCTGATGTCGTGCTTGATCTTCCTGGCTTACATCATCAGGTCTTCGATACACGCTTCCGATGCAAGCGTCCGTGCGTTGAAAGTACAGATCGTCATCTTAGTCCTCCTCCTTTTCGGCAGCTTGTTCTAACCATGAGATTTCAGCAGCCTCTCCCGAGAGGTCCTACCCAACGCTGCCGTATTGGTGGCCCCTCAGGCTCAGGGGGAGGGGCCCACTTGCGTTACTGCTTTCGGCAAGTGGTTATCCAACGTGTTGCTTGCCAAGCTCTGGCGTGGGAGCCAGGTTAACTCCGGGGGCTAGCCAGGCTACCAAAAAGTGGACGAGTGGTTGTTTTTGGAGGCGGTCCCAAATCGCCTCCCAGATACTCGGGTGCAGCTTTTGGCTGAGTCGCAGGATAGGCTGCTTTCATATTCCACGATTTGGCCCGCGAGCGCGCGATTGAGCGATTGGGGCGGCGCTTGCCTTTTGTTTACAAATAAATCTTGGTTGGTACCGCCGGACGAGTAGTCCCCCGGCTGGCTCGCGCGCTCGCTCGCTCGCTATGAAGGCAGCCATACCAACTGCACGCGCAGACTCTCCTCACACGTATGCGCGGATACACATGTGAGAAACAAAAGGTGTATCAACGCACAGCAGAAACAGGGAGTCCTTACCTCTTATCCACCTGCGTCTCTGAGCAAGTACCGGTGAATTTTGGTCGGCGATTTACTCGCCCATCCGCCACCTAGGGACGCGCTACGTAGCCTCGTCGCTAACCTGCTAGGATCCTTCAGTGAGAGAGAACCCTCGGTAAAGGAGATCCGTAGAATATGGGTGTTAAGGGGTTTACATGAAACGAATGGATACAAAAGCGAAAAGTTTAAGAGCGAGCAGAGCGTGAACAAGTCAGCACACAGTTGTTACAAAAAATAACCGCGAATGCAAGATAAAGTGTAATAATTTATAAATCGCTCGCGTCTATTTGCCTAACGTCTTGGTAGCTATGTTCCTTATCAACCCAAAGCCTGCAAAAAATGGGCGAAGAGGAGGACGAATCAACATATAAAATGAGAGACCCACCCGCGGGGCGGTCAGAACAGATTGATCTTAGAAGGCGTTACTTCCTCAATAGATCAATAACACGATTCCAACAAGACTTGATTGCCAGAAAGAGTGCATAAACGAATAAGGTCCGAAATGAAAAAATTAAGCGAAGTGCAATGAGGACTGGAGAGCACTCACTCGCTGTTGGGAAGCTCAAAGAATACGGAAAGAATGCTTAGAGACCGGCGTTTGAAGTAGCCAAACGGTCACAGTGAGCAGGACACAGGCCGAAATGGGTGCAGCTATGACCAAAAACCTGTAAACCTGTTCAAAAAGCTCAAGAATTCGAAGAGTGGTTAGAAGCTATTGATGGGATAGCGACCAAGTGCCGAAAGCGTGCGGAGCCAGAATAGGAGACCATAATACTGTTCAAAAGGGTCTTTGTTGTCACGCATGCTTCAGTCCATTAGTAAGCAACAATACTGCCACTCACTTCAGAAGGCGTTTTGTTCCCGTAACGCGATCAACAACGTAATTGGCACCAGGATGATTGTCCGAGCCCGTCATTATTAGTTTTTTCATACGGCTTATATTGTAGCTGTTGACGACTTCGGGAAAGGTTAATGTTAGGGCGACATGTACTGGCACTCCGACCTCGCCAATCTGTAGGTTGGGATCCGGTGATATTACCTTCAATACACATTCATATATTCAATTCGAAAAACGTGTGGTAGAACCGAAAAGATAGCTAAATATTCTTAATACAAGACCAGTATGCCTAGTTCAAGAGAAAATTATATAAATGCATAACAACGAGTAAAAAAAAAATGAAAAAAAATGGAAGCATATTTAGAACGCACCGTTCTTCCAGAGAAGTCTACTCTCTTACCGGACAAATTGCCACGAAACCGCCCTTGTTTTCCTTTCAGACGTTGTGTAAAACCGCGGAGCGACTGAAATGCCATACCATCTCGTATTAAACAATAATTACAGAAAGAGAAATCAGAAAAGAACGGGCCTTCTTGGGTTGTAATTCAGGAGGTAGGCCAGAGAGTTCACTGTTGAAGTATAAGGCAACCTGGATCTGGAACAGACAACATTAGGCATTTTTCGTAATAACAAGCGCGATATAATGACCTGCAAATGATCCCATGTTTCTGTTACTGTCTTGATTGGGGCACCATCTTTCTTGTGTTTTTGAAGTACATCGTTAATGAGTATAATTTCAGACAACTTCATAGTTAAGTCGTCCTCGGTTGTACCAGATTTCACCTCTTTAAAGATCATTGTGAAGGTTGTTGAAACCCCTATACTCCGACAAAAGACGAGTTGGACAGTCCCACCTGATATAACGGATGGTCGAACGCAGACTGGTGGCACAGGGATTCTTGTCAATAATAGGTCATTAGGATGTTTTCTTTCACCAGATTTCACCATTAATATTGGAATATCCTTCAAAAAATGAAGTTGGAACGTTTAACACACGGTAGCTGAAAACCACTGCTTCAAAATTCTACCTCTGCTGAGACATTATTAAACAGCTTCTGAACACGTAATGGATTTAACAACGTAAACTTCGACCTGACGAGGACAGCTGAGAAATCTTCGTTTGCTGCCGTAACAGTCGTGAATCTCCGCATCTTAAAAATGTAACAAGTGATAAGAAAACTTCAAAAATATTATTACCTGCTTCGTCTTGTCGCAATAACTGATTCAATAATTTCGTCGTTTCCAGATAATAAATCAATTTGCAACAAGCTTCAAGCGGTGAGCTTCACGATAAGCAGCAGTTTAGTACAAAACAAGTCAACAAGGGCAGGAAGAGGTTCAGAATAGTGGAATCGAACTTCATGAAGATCATACTGACAAACAGTTTCTCGCCTGCCCCGGAACAACATTGGGTCATATTAGCGGAATTTGAAAAGTTCGAATCGGTCAGAACAGTGCGAAAGAGCCAAGCCATACTGTTGTCATGGCAATCAGTATCATGGCTATCGCTTGGCCTGTGCCAAAGCGACTATCAGGCCTTGATAGTCGCTTTGGCACAATTTCGGAAACACCCACTCCGTAAAGACTATGTTAAAGGCACAGTTCACGTTAATTTTGGGTTATATGGTTTTCAGTGCGATGGAGACAAAGACAGCACGCGATTCGGTGTTCCAGAGTGATAAAATGCTTCTAAAAAGTAGTTAGAAGGGGCTGGACGAGAATAAGACCAGAAAATGAAGTAGAGTGGGTATTTGGACGAGCTTAACAATGTGTGTCATTGCATACGTGTGAGCCCCGGTGCGAAGAGCTGACCTCAGTAAGCAAAAATGTCCTTTGGAGTTCATTCACTAAAAAGCATAAGTAAACAAAAACACTATTAGCAGCGGAACTTTCATCCTTCTGAGATAGCTCCCAAGATAGTAAACAAGATAAAGGACCGCAGTAGCAAAAAGAATCGCAGAGAATAGCAGAATAAGAGTAAAAATTACCTCACCGGCAATCACCTGATTGCATGTGGGTCCTGGCGCGAATGGCTCCTTTCGAACTTCAACAATTCAACCTGCGTGCGTGCAGCGTGCACGCACGCACGCAGGTTGAATGTCGCAAGCAACCTGCACCGCCTCTACACTCGTCTGACATGACACCGGTCGACGGGCGTGGCATCCGACCGATCCGGTAATGATGCTCCTATTATGCCCTGGCTCTTGAGTTTTTGGGCCCAACTACGTCCTCTCTGTTACCCTTGGCGCCCACTAGGTAATCTTCAGCGGGAATCTAAGAACCATTTCTATCATGAACTGTGCCTTTAAGACTTTTAGTGTTTAAGAGTGAACTAAGACTAATAAGACCAAACGTCCATAAACGTACAACTATTCATCCAACTGTTGCGTCTTCGAGTCATTCACTTTCCATTAAAATGCTGGTAAAGTCACCAGAGAACAAGTGGAAAACATTTCATTCATTAAAATCTCACATTATCATCGGTGACACCATGTGAATAGACGATTTTTAAAACCGTGCCCACAGCTTTCTTCACAAGTCCTAAAGGAAACAGAGGTAAAATCGAATAAAACTATATTGCAAATCAGGTCTGACAAGGGAAAGATCCCAAGTCGAAGTGGTCATCTGAAATGAGACCTACAATGCTGGACGTATTTTTTGATGCTGATTTCATATCTGCATTCAAAATCTGCCAAGGTTCTCTGAACTAAGTTATGGAGGTGGCCTCCGGAGAAGGCTCAACAGGGGCAAGCACAAAAGACATGGTCACTGGCAGTCCACCAGTGGCGACTTGGAGTACAGGTTAGCGTGACGCTTCATAGGCATGGGACCAAGGACTGGGTTTGGTGGGAAGGCCGTTTTTGCATTTTGCTGGACTTTGCCTAGGTTGTAAAAATCTCTTCATGTTAGTTTTAGCACCTTAAGCCACTTTTTAGTTGGCGGAGGTGAGTCAGTTCCTACTTAACCAACATGACGAAAATTCTATTCTTATACATTTCAATTTCACTGTAGGATAACTTTCCACCTGGATTTGTTTGGTTATCTTGCTCTAATAAATGTTCCGGGATGAAGAACCTGTACCTGCTCTTTGGACACTTCTACGTTACCAAACATCAACGACCTCCTAGATGTACTTGCTGTTTCCTCTTCATCATCGGGTCCCACAGTCGATCGGCCTTCTCGTCCTCGATCAAACAGTCTTATTCGCTTTCGCATCGAGGTCTTCGTAAGCGGCATCTCGCAAGATAGAGAAGTTATTTATCGATTTCTGCTCCTTCCTTGTAGTGGCGCATTCGACATCACATTATCCGAAGTTCCTCAAGAGGCGCGACACTACCAACTCTGAGCAGTACATACTCCTTGTTCTTTAGTGTTGCCTCCATCCGTATATACCATACTTTGCCGCGTTTGCCACGTGACAAACTTTACCTTTTTGAAAATTGACCACAACCCCAACCTTTTTCAAAAACTAATCGACATCATTGCGTAGTGGAAGACGATTTCGGCAGGAACTGATTCACCTCGATATTCATAAAGTCGCCAAAGGCGGCAAAACTAACATAAAAAGATTTCTACAAACTGGAGGAAAAAGTCCTGTGAAATGCAAAAGGACATCGGCCACCAAACCCGATCCTTGGTCCCATACCTATGAAACGTCACGCTTACCTCTACTCCAATCCGCCACTGCTGTACTGCCGGCGACCATGCCTTTTGTGCTTGCTTCTGTTGAGCGCTCTCAGGAGACAACCTCCATAACTTCGTTCAGAGAATCATATGGCAGATTTTGTTTGCAGATTCGAAATCAGCATCGAAAAGTACGTCTAGCAGTGTAGGTCTCATTGTATCGAACAGAAACTCAACCTTCCTTGTTTACACCGATGAGATCTGATATGGCATCACAAAGTTTATACATAGCACGTACTACAAAACATGTTGACTATATATAAACTATAGGTGGCTCATTCTCTCCACTTTTTCGACCATTTCTGCACACTTCTTCATGATTTCATTCGTCAGTCCAGTCACCAATCACAGGACTCTGTTCGTGTTCCGAAGAGTAAACGATCTCAGTACGATCACTCATTTCAAATGGCCACTTCGACTTGAGATCCTTCCCTTGTGGGGAGAAGATTAGCGTGGAGCGTGGAATTGCATGGGGCATCGCACTAATAGTTACTAATCGGAAAAAGAACACACCGTTTCGCTGCCCACACTTCGGACAGGAAGTCGTCTTTTTACATGTAGCCACTATGTTTTTATGTAGAACTTTTCGCCGCAAGTAGTCCAGATTCGAATGGGAAATTTGTCTCAAGTAATGTGCCCGTTGCTCCTCGTGTAGTAGTAGTCCAGAACAATGCTGAAACAGATACATAATTGGTTAAAAGAATTTCGTCTTGGCAAATTGGGAAGAATTCTGGAAAATCAACAACATATTTGGCAGGTCTTACAATGCACATGAAACAACAAACGACACATGATACAACTAGTTACCAATTCGTAAAAGAGTACACCAAAAAAACGAAGCTCACCTTACATATACACTGCAGCACTTGTATAGTAAGCTTGAAAAACCCTACATGAAACACGGGGAACTCGAGATCAACGTAGCCAAAATGACCGACGCAATCGGTTAAATTGCGGCCACAGGTCTTACACTGTACGTGTTTAGATGTTGTGCCCTGAAAAATAGGAAGTAAACATACCATTGAATATTGCTTATTCATTTGGTCCTACTAAAAAAAGTGAAACAAATTCGCCTGCATGTATACCTTATGCGTTAAGTACGAGAAATCGAAAAAATTTTTACAGATCTCAGCAGAAAGTGGAGGGCAGAAGGTACGTCCGCTTTTATAAGTTTATGCTCTCCTACACTCTTTCAATGAGACTTCCTCATAGTTAACCTTTAGAAAAGAATGGTAAATCTTATACAACTGACTCATGTTACGCCAGCAACGGCTAGCAATAAAACCCTGCGAATTCCTGCACCTGCATCAAATAGTGGGTTAGCGGAAGTAACAACGACTTCCGAAAGCAATATTTTCGAAACATCTAGTTCAGAAGTTTCCAAGAGTTTTAACACTTCTTATTCCATACGTATTGCAGGTACATATTTGTACTTTTCAAGAAAAATTTGAAGAACTTTCGCCCTCGTATGTAGTTTTAGGCCCAGTTTGAGCATGGAATGTCAGGTAGAGCATTTTCGGCACAGCTCACCTTTTTTACTTCTCTCGTGGCTAAAGAACGCTGGGAAGGGAGGAGAGGAGGGGAACAGCCAAGGGGCTAAATGGTGGTCCTTTGAGAATGGCGCGCAAACTATGCTGTGCTCCATTGCAGGAGAATTAGAGGGCCTTATGAATAATGCCTAAGGAAGGGAATGTGAGAGTCACCCCAAGGAAATGTTTGTTTTGCTGTAGGTTAAGTGACGCCGGAGCAGAGTATTTTACGCCTCCAGTAGAGTCAAAGCAGGGCTAGATTGGTATCCGAAGTGTTTTTCGATCAGATGAACCGGAATATGGAGTGTGGATTTTTGCCCCAGGAAAGCATTCTAACAAAGTGGTGGGGAGCTATATCTTAAGAAGGCTCAAGGAAGTAGCAGATGGCTAGGACGTTTTGCGAAATACACTTAGAAGGTTGTGGAATTTTGAAACGGGTGCCCATTTATCGCACACTTCAGTACAAAGTGACCTTAGTTAGATGAGAAAGTTAAACATCGCACTGCTCCCATGTCGTAATTGAGTATGTCGCAGTTAAACGAAGAGGACAGTAAGAAAGTGAAGGGTTCAAAAATAAATTTGCATACCATATATAAAATAAACATTTCGTATTTTTTATCTTATTTATTAAAAGACATGTGAAACACATGTGAGCATAGTGTAAAAACAAAAAACTAAGCAACCGAAATCACATAATCATAGAAAATCTGCAACACGTTTTCTGAAGGTGGAGTGTTTCAACGGGAACAAATTAGAGCGCAAGAGAGAATTGAAATTTGTGCGAACTCTGTGAGCAAAAAACATAGATCTGCATTGAGTCCTAGCTGTAGTAGTAGATAATCTTATTGAGGCACCCCTAGTATTAGACGGCAACACATGAAAAAATCTGAAACATCAATATTTACAAGATTTTTTAGTATTTTATAAGTCATTAGCATATCATAGCGCTTCCTCCTCCATTCAAGAGTTTTAAGACCAAGGTTGGCATTCCTTTCGCTCCCATTAGGTATGTCAACATAGCGAAGGCCCGAACACCTGAGCATCAGCTTACGGGTGAAGCTATTTTGCACGCTTTC